TTCCTTTGACAATTCAAAAACCAGCCTGCTGTGAGATGTAGAGACAGTCGGGGCCATCTTTGGCTGTTTCTCGCTGCAGCTGCCTTTCGGAGCACTATATCAAGGCCCTTCTTTGTGATTTACAGAGCGTGGCTACAAGATAATCACAACTCGGCAACAATGTACCAAACAGATTTACTCCTCCTGAACAAATATGTCTCGGAGTAATTCATTACCCCACGGGACGCCTGCTCACAACTCATCACCAATTTAATAACCAACAGGGAAGGACCCCACAACTCAGCCCCAATTCCCTGTCCAACAGGACCGGCGCTTGCAATTTTATCATCCTTGTGCCGTCCAATGGGAGAAGCGCATCCCATTCCCCATCAATCCAATGTCCAATGAAAAGGCTAGCTTGAGACCGGCCGCCCAAAGGGGACCCAAGATTGCAATTCATCATTAAGTGATACGCTTTGGGTTTTATGGTAGGCGAGATTTACAGCTCATAAACAAGTTTTTATCCAACACGTTTCAGCTCATTGAAAAACAGAACTACGGGTCGTAAACAATTCATTATCCACCATGTTGCCAATATACTGGCAGGCCAAAGCATCATGAATCAGATAACGCCAAGGGAGATCAGCAAGCGCGAGGGCTATTGGGAGGGATCCCACAAGGAAAGACCCCAATGCAAGGAGAAGACCCCTTGCTTCTGCTTTCTTGGTCCTTTTGCCTCCAAGCCAGTCCTGGAGCTGGACCAAGGGTGTTTCTGAGACACCTTTCGAGTCTCCAAACTGTCCTTTCTTTGGCCGAAGAAAAGGAAGAATGCCTCTCCTTCAAGCCTCCAGCACTGGCAAGTCAACATTTAAATCGGCTGCAGCTCCTTGCACCATTTCTTTCCTTCTCTCTCTCTCTCTCTCTCTCATAAACACACATTTTGCAAACTGAGAAGTGGATTTACAGCCACTTTTAGGATTTTATCACAAAAGCCTGCTGTCTCACCACAATCATGCTAGTATGTAGAGAGATCTTGCAGCGCCTTTGAGACTAACTGAAAGAAAGTTGGCAGCATGAGCTTTTATAGACTAAAGTCTACTTCCTCAGGAATGCATTTGGCGGAGTGGAAAGCCAGGGACAGACCTATATATGTATGTAGCCCATACATACATATGTATGTAGCCCAGGGACAGACCTATATATACCATTAGTGCGTGAGAATGTCAATCCAAATTCAAAATCCTTTGTGTATGGAAATGAACTGGCAAGTCCTGTGTTAATGATAGTCAGTGATGGACAAAGTGGAAACTGTAGCCTGTAGGTGAGGAGATCATGCTAGTTTAAGAAGGGAAGCATACTGGTTCAGTATCATTTCTTACCCCACTTTTCCCCACAATAGTACACTGGCAATCCATAGCATGTGATCTGTTTTCCTTACTGCCAAATGCCTTCCTTTTCCAGAAGGAAAGGGTGGGAAGGAGTGATTGCGCACAGCAGCCAGCTTTGGAAAGTTGTTGGCAGCTGCAGTTGCTGCAAGGTGGAGATGAGAAAGAGAAGCAGAATAAAGCCCACTCATACCCCGCGACTGCCTGAGAAGTGGAACTGCAGCAGAAAGGACCCATCTCATGAAGGCAGTAATGGAACAGCAACAAAATAGAGAGCCTATTGATGGCTTCTGCCCATCAATGAAAAGGTGCACTACAATAATGAATTAAATGCAAAGCAGCAGCAGGACGGACACATCATCATGTGAAAAGTACCAGCCAATGAGCCTGTTAAAATTCCACTTTTCTGGCCTAATTTGATAAAAATCCTTAGTTTTATTTTTAAAGTTTTAAGTGGTCCCTGGAAGGTCGTGGGGCAGAAAACTAGCTTCTGGACAGCAGGTGCCCCTTCCTGCTCTAAGCCCCCTGTTTATCTTACAGTCTTCACTAGATCCTTCTCAATGCTTGAGATCTCAGCCCCATGTGAAACAGAATATGTACATCTGATTGCCCAGATTATCTCCTGGTGAAGATGGTCCAACCCTTAGCTACTGCTGTTCCTGCTTTTCCAGGAAACAAAGGTATGTAAACTGCAATGCAGGTACAGTGGGCCCTCCGCATTCTCTGGGATTAGGGGTGCATGACTCCTGTGAAAGTAGAAAAAATGCAAATAAAAACCCAGTTTTTGTTTTTACCTGAGAGAACACCTTTCTAGGAATCTCCAGGTGCTCCAGTGCAACTCTACGGTCAACTTCTGTCAGAAGTTGACCATAGAATCATCCTGGAGGACCTACAAATGTCTAGAGAGGTGTTCTTTCTAGGAATCTCTATGTCCTCCAGTATGACTTTATGGTCAGCTTCGAAGGGAAGGTGTCATACAGTTGTGCTGGAGGACTTAAGAGATTCCTAGAAAGAACATGTTAATCAAATCCACAAAAGTCAGACGCAAATGTGGAGGGCCAACTGTACCTTGCTTAAGACAGCCCTGGTGACAGAAAGGAACACAACTCATGCTTATTCCTGGTCATTTTTCCAGCCACAACAATAGACAAATCTATAGGCTGGGATACTGAGCCCCAGAATTTATTCCCAGTGCCTGGATCATAATTTGGAGACATTGTGCTCCAGTGGTTGGAAAAGACAATAATGTTTTGAAAAGTGGAAGGCAGTAGGGAAAGGAGAAGATTGATTCAATCAAGGATTGTTCTGAGTTTGCAAGATCTGAGCAGGACTGCTGACGACTGGGATTCACGGGGGTCTCTTAATCACAGGGCTGGCATTTGAAGTTGACTTGATGGCAAACAACAACAGCAGCCATGTTCTAATATTCCTATACTTGTGAGTATTGGTTAATGGAAACTTTAAATGTGCAGAGATTCACCATCATGGGGATTTAAACCCTGGTCCAGCACTCAAACTACTGTATACCAGATCTCTGATTCTATGCAGATTTTTGAACAGAGGTTTGTTCAGTCATGGATGTTTTAGCAGTGGATTTCCTGCATCACCAGGGGGCTGGATTAGATGACTCTGGGATTCCCTTCCAAATATACAATTCTATATATTCTAGAAAACATCTTTGCAGAGACGAACAGCATATCCAGTTTCTTTGCACGCAGCCTTTCCTTTCCTTGCCTCACCTCCCAACAACACACGCTCTCTGCAATCACTCCTGATTTAGTATTATTATTATTATTTTTTATTGTGGACAGCTGTTCAGACCCTTTTTGGGGCAGGGCTGTGTGGTCCAAGAGCAGCAGGCTCTGTCACTTCATCTGAAAGGCTGTCAATTCCCTCCTTTCACCCGCTGTGTTCCCCAACCAAAATAAAAAAAGAGCCACCCACCAGTTCCTGTGCAAAGGCTCCCTAATAGAACTTCATCAGAAGAGCCATTAGCTGGGCCAAATGAACGGCTACAATTACTGTCTCAGGCAGCAAAACCTCTCTCCTAGCCCCTCTTTTCCTCCCCATCACCTGCCAAACTGTGGTTCTCAGAGCTAATGCTTCCAGCTGGGATAATGGCTCCAGGCTTCCTTGGCAACACAAATGGGGCTCTCCCAGTCTCTATTCCAGGAAGAAGGGGGGCTGTTTCTTTTTTGAAAGCTGGAGTTGCCTTACCTTGCTTTGGGCTCTTGGTTCCCCCCCC